CTCCATTCTTGGTGTGAGGATGCTGCAGGTGCTGACTACGTTGAGCATGTTCCTTTCCCTCTCAGGGCTTGGGTGTCGAGGTGTTCTTCTGCAGATAGGTCGACATCACACCACCAGACCTGCTGCATCCCTGTACCAGGAGGTTCCCCTTGATTTAGGCCACTCCACTAAGTTCCAGTGGTTGCACAGGCCACAAGCTCTTGCATGGACTTGGCCTTAGTGCAGGTTCAGGCAGGGTTTGTGGGACGGGCTTTTGTTCTGGGTTGCCACCTTTTAAAAAAACAAAATCTGATGAACGGTTTTGCTTTGAGTTTGGAGAAGGGTTATTTCAATGCGCTGGTAGAGGGGGGCTGTGACCATCACTGCTGAGGTGGGCAACTCATCATCCAGGTGATTAGCCCAAGTGCTGAGAGCTTCCCACAGAAGAAGGGTGCGGAGGATACCTATAATCCCCATGTAGCTCCAGGACCGCCAGTTTGACATTTCTGAAATTGGCAATAAATAAGTTCTGCCCCTTGTTGCCTTCTCCATCTGCTGGTACCAGCAAACCGAACATTTCTGCTTCCTGAACGGCTGCTCTTGAGGTCTAGAACACCCTCCGCAAGCAGCCAGAGTGATCTCTGCAAGCACAACCTTCTCTCCATGCCTGCTGTGGAAGGACTTGTTCTGAAACAGCATTTGGTGTCCTTTACACCTCCGTTGTGTCTTCATCTAGAAATGGGTGTCTTGGTACTGCCAATACCCTGAGGTTGGAACAGGGCCACCCACGCCTTAAACACTGGTGTTATGGGTTAAATGCGTAAAGCTTGGTCAATATTTAGTGCCGAGGTAACCACAGGAAGAGTTTTTCCGAAGGATGTGCTTGGTTCTTGATGGCCATAGTGACCTGCTCCTTTCTGATACGTGCTCCCAACTGATCTTGGAGTGAAAGCCTGGAGTTGGGAGCTTCTGGGTGAAGGTCAAAGGGCTGGAGCAGATCTGCTACGGAGAAAGGCTGAGAGCGTTGGGGGTGTTCAGCCTGAAGAAGGCTCCATGGACACCTCCTTGTGGCCTTTCATTATTTAAAGAGGGCTTATAAAAAAGACAGAGAGAGGCTTTTTACCAGGACAAGGAGCAACGTTTTTAATCTAAAAGAGGGAGAGTTTAGATGGGACGTTAGGAAGACATTTTTTACAGTGAGGGGGGTGAGGCCCTGGCACAGGCTGCCCAGAGAAGCTGTGGCTGCCCCCTCCCTGGAAGGGTTCAAGGCCAGGTTGGACGGGGCTTTGGGCAACCTGGGCTAGTGGAAGGTGGCCCTGCCCGGGGCAGGGGGGTGAGACTGGATGGGCTTTAAGGTCCCTTCCGAGCCAAACCTTTTGATGATCTGATGAAGTTTTTGCTCTGCTACAGTAACAAAAAAATAGGAGGAATTTGTTGAAGCCTGGAGTCTGCTCCCCGACCACTGTTTCCACACTGGATAGTCTACGTTACACTGATCTAGATCAGCCCTAAATAGCTGCATCGACCCTCCCATCACAGACTGCTCTGGAAGCCCTTTACCCTGCCAGCCCCCAGCACTGCAGGGACATCATCCCGCGTTCGTGTGTACGGCCAGTGGGCACAGCAGGAGGGAGGGGAGGGGGCAGAGGTCCCCCCCTCGCTCTGGTGACCAGGAGACCCTGGAGCAAGCTCAGAGGAGTCCCGCTTGCTGCTACAGGGATGCTGCCAGCCTGGGGAATGGAACGTTTGAGGAAATTGTAGGTATTATTGAAATGGAGATTTATTTTTTTTCCGTCTTATTTGCTGCCTGTAGCAGAACAGCCACATCCCTGCTGTTTCCCTCACTGTGTTCATTTCTTTCTTCCTCCTCCCCTGTAAGCCTCGCAGTGGAGGTCACTGGGTTATTTTTCAGCGGACATTTGGGCCCCTCACCCCAAAAAGGCCATTGAATGACTCGAGCGTGGCCAGCACCTGAGTGCCTGTGGCACAGGTAAGGGGGCAAGAAAACTGGAGCCAAAAGAAGTTGAGTGAGACAACCTCCCAGCTGCGGGAGATCAAATATCCAGAGAAAATGGAGATGCTGACAGATCACAGCTGCAGAAGGGGTACGCCTGCAAAGATGTCCGTCACGCTCTGGCTGACCAAGGGAATTGCTGGTCCCCGTGGGCAAGGCCCCACCCCTGGGAACATTCAAGGTCAGGTTGGACGGGGCTCTGAGCAGCCTGATCTCACTGAAGATGTCCCTCCTCATTGCAGGGGGTTGGACTAGATGACCTTTGTAGGTCCCTTCCAACCCAAACCCTTCGATGATTCTACAAACTTCTCTAGAAACCCTGGCCAGAGGAGCCATGAAGCCCACCCAGAAGTCGTTCAATACTTGAGTTTCTTGTGACAAGGTGAGCAGAAGCATCTGCGAAATCATTAAATCTTCTCTCAATGCTTAAGAGAAGGCGGCAGTTGTTGGTGACCTACAGTAGGTGATCACAAGAGGTCACTCACCCCGCATCCACATGGATACCCAGCAGCAGACACACAGGTTCACCCAACTCACTTCCACGATCCTCATGACCTATTTAGGGGCGCTGCGAGAAATGCAAATAAAGGCAGGAACAGAATCGAATGTTTCTGTTGGAAGGGACCTACAATGATCACCTGCTCCAACTGAGTTGCTCTTTGACCAACTACGCTCATTAGGAGAAACCCACGGTGATGCCAAGCATCTGCAGATGAGAATCTCCCTTGGAGAGCAAGAGGGCTGGGCTTTTGTCATTCTATGGGTGGGAATGAGCCCGGCTAAGTCGACAACACGGATAAAACATGACAAAAAGACATTGGAAGACAGTGAACTGGGGAGCTCGGCTCTGTGTGCAGCCTCCGTGCGAGGCGCAATCTGCTTGCAGCATGTGAAAGCGGTGGAGAAAGATGCATGACCTGGAAAGTGATTTCCTGCAGCGAGTTCTCGGCTTTAATTACAGTCTGAAAGGCCATTCCCACCCTGCCTCCCATGCCGCAAACGAAGCTGCCTGTCTGCCCCCAACC